TTCACTGGATAAAGCATATCTGAACCTGGAAGCTGATTCCCACTGCAGAAAGCGTTCTGAGTCATGTCCCTTAGCTTCACTAGCACAGGTCCACCCGGGAGGATGGCCCAGCATCAGCTCGGCCCATGCTGTGATCAGCCACCTCCATGCACCACACCAAGCAAGCTCCCTGGGTGATTCACAGTCTCCACCACCAGGGCACTGACCTTTACTCTGTGTTCTAGCTCCCTATGGGGACCCTGTACAGGACATCGCTAATGACACTGTACAAAACATCTGTAATGAGGACGCCCTATATGAGATCACTAATGAGGCCGCTGTACACGATACCAATCAGCATGCTGTACAAGACATCTGTAAAAAAGACGCTGCCAAGGTAAGACACTTTTTTCTTGAACAGAAATGATATTTTCCTAGTTCTTTCCAATCAGATGTAGACATGAACATCTGGCAGTGTGCATTATTTATGACATCTGCAATTCCCTTGGTGTGGTGCTATTGATTGGCAGCCTCTCACCAACCCATGCCGGGCACACGGGGGTGTGGTAGATGGCAGCATCCACGATCCACTGCAATGCAGAGGTGCTTCCCTCCACAGCAGGTTTCCCCTGTGGATTAAGAGTTGTGAAACTGCCAATCTAAATACACTTTAAAGATAAATTATGTGGGAAAAGGCCTTGTCTTTTCCACAGGTGTCCTCCGTGCTAGTTTGGGGGGAGTTCGACCTTTGACTCAATCACTATATCCCTTCTAATTTTCTCAAGTTGTTGAGAGAATATCAGATCTGTGTGACATGCATGGCATCATTTCACCCTCCTGTTTTCTATAATTGCAGGAGTCATTTATAGTGGAAAACGGTACGTACCCTCAAATAACTCACTTCTTGAGGGAAAAACGCTGTCTTTAGGGTATAGAAACCTGATTCTGGGCTCCTTTTGGGAAGAAGGATCTGGGGGTCTGGTGAGAGCAGATGATTTTGCAAGTATAAAACAATGTCCAGAGAGGCTGGAGGGATGTCTGTGAACCAGAGGAAACACCAGGGGATCCTGTGTGAAGCACCGGGGCTTCAACTGGGGTGGGAGGAGTGGGTGGGCCTCTCTCTGATGACTTATCCTGGTGTTTGTGTTTCTGAAGATTTGATTGTGGAGAGCATATCTGACGATGAGGATTTTGCAGGTAGGTAACTACTTTCCAGGTAAGATCCAATGGGAGAGAGTTCCCAGGGCCTTCGGGGTATCCGTGCTGCTTGGGAGGTTGAGGGGAGGGGGCATGAAATCAAAAAGAGAAAGGAAATATGTGTCAAACTGGATTTGGTGTTTTCCAGGTTTCTTGCCATAATATAAGAACTGTCTCTGGGGGCTGGGAGGGTGCTGTGTGATTTAAAGGTGATCTTTCCCAGAACACCTGGCCTTTTCTCTTCTGCCTCTGCCAAACATCACAGCCTTTGG